CCTCACGAGTTCGAGCCGTTGTTGCGGCTTGAGGGGCGCCCTAGAGATGTTGTCAAGGGCCTTACACACCTCCTGCTCAAATGTCGCAGTTCCGGACGAGTCGAAATCCACCCCAAGATAACGCCATCTTTCCACGCAAGTCACCTGCCGAAGCTTTTTCCTACCGATCGAGAACAAGTTCTCCGTAGGATAATGGTGTTTCTTGCGGTGGCCATCCGGCACCATCGAGAGGACCGAGCTCTTACTCCGGTTGACAAAGAGTCCCACTGCTTCCCCAGACCGCACTACACAGTCAATGGACTCCTGCATGCCTGCCTTGGATCCCGCGAGGAGAATCAGGTCGTCAGCATAGGCCAGAGCTGAGACACGCTCGCCCTCCAGACCGTAGCCGACGCCCTTAGGCAGTGACGCTAGGATTCCGTCCATGGCCATGTTAAACAGCACAGGTGACAGCGGGTCTCCCTGGCGGACTCCTCGTCCAACTTTGACAGGCTGGCTCTGTTTTCCTTTTACGGCTAAGGTGGTAGTCGCCGTTTCGTACAAACGAGCCAGGTAGTCACAGAAACCCTTGGGTAGTCCCCTTGCTCTCAGGAGTTCTAGCAGCGCCTTGTGGGACACTGTGTCGAACGCCCTAGAGAAATCGAGGACCGCCACATGACACTCCCGCAACTTCCTCCGACTGTCGCCTAGCACGGCGTCGAGCACCGCAGTGTTCTCGAGGGTCCCATCCGCGTGGATGAAGCCCCTCTGCCGTACGTCCGGCGGACAACAATCCAGGAGCCTTCGCGCCAGGATCGAGTGGAGGTGTCGGAGTGGTACCGACGCGACCGAAATCGGCCGGTAGTCACTCGGCCGCTTAGGAGTATCCGTCTTTGCGACGAAGATCGTGCGACATTGTCTCAGTTGGTCCGGAGTCTCACCATTTGCCATCCAAGAGTTGAACATTTCCGCCTTCAATTGGTTAGGAACTGAGCGCCACTCATCCGAACGTATTCCATCCGGACCTGGCGCTGTCTGCAGGTCAACGTTGGTAGCCTTCACCTCGTCAACCGAGATGGGCTGCCATAGCCGGTCAAACACGTTTGCCCCCTCGGCGTCTCTAGCTCGCCGCATAGCTCGCATTGAGACCTCCGTGGGCCCGGGAGCTTCCGATACCTCCTCTAGGATAGGTCGCCAAAAGGCTTCCATCTCCTCGAGGCTGTTCTTCACCTCCCGAGACTGGCCGGTGATGATCTCGGCCGCTAATCGACCTGGACACTTCCGGAACAGTTCCTGAGCCCTCGCGTACTCTGCTCGTCTCAGTTTCTTTCTAGATAACGACTCTAGCGTACACCCGTCAATTCCGTTTAAGTGGAGGCGCCTCGCGGCCCTGGCTCCCAGCCCGCATCGCTTGCGCCGTCTCTCAGCAACCTGAAGGAGCTTGGACAGCGCCTGCTCTGCGTTCGGACTGATTGAAGCCCTGGTCGCGGTATGGGGTTCACCAGCGGGCGGCACGTCTTCAGATGTGCACTCTTCCTGAGCACCCGGGGGCTGCGCTACTCCAGAGTGGTCCGCGCTCCGGCACCCGCTCGCAGAAGGTACCGGCGCGGGAGAGGAGAACTCCTCCAGGCAGGTTTTCACCAACCTTTTGTAGTCCTCTCCCCTGCGTTTTCCCTTAATCGCCTCCAGCGTCCTTTGGAGCTGTGGCAATTTGGCGAGCAGGTCTGAGCCAGAGCACTTCCCAGACTCCTTCATGAGCTGCGCCTCCGTTCGTGCCATTAGAAGCACCTCTTCATCGCGCCACCTGCGCTTCACCCCTTTCGGAGCAGCCTCCACATTTGGCTCGGCGGGGTGGGCTCTACGTTTGTGGACCCCAAGCCCCGTCTTGGTTTTGAAGGACCGACCACAGAGTGGACAGTCAAAATCCGATGACTCGCCGACGTTCAGATCACGATCGTCGGGCCGAGCCGAAGAGGAGGTAATCTGGCCGCTCCCCGACTCCTGTGGGAGGTCGGGGTGGTCCATATATTCTCTATATTTCTCTATTGCGTCAGTTTTACCCTTTGGGAAATGGGGTGCAAGCCCAAATCCCAGGTTCGCCCACGGCCTTCGCAAGGTCCCAACCGAAGTAGGCCATTAGACTTGGCGGGTTCCGAAGATCCCACCCAACGGGACTGCTGCAGGGAATCTCACCCCACAGCCACCACCTGGATCACGCCTTAGATGGAAAGGCGCTGCACACTCCGAAGAGGACCCAGGGACAAGCCTGACTGTTCTCTCCACTGCCACCAGTGAGAACCGATGATTATGGAGATAACAGTGGAAATGTGCGCGGTCCCAAAATGAGATCCAGACAACACCATTGAGACACTTGCAACGCCCCATCAGCTGCTAAAGGGTTGCCTATTTAGGTGCTGTCCCCCCCCCCTCGTTAGCTTTCGCAGCGGCGCCACGTGCAGGCCGAGGATAGGAGTTGGGCGTCATGCCGGCACAGGCATTCTTCCCCGTTGACGAGCCCGATCGCGCAGTATTCACATCCCTCTGACTAGCTGGCGCGCCAGTGAAATGTGTGCTACTACCGGGTCGCGAGTGACCATGTCATCTTAATACCCCGTTAGGGGTTTTTACAGTTCAAGTTAAGAGAGTCATAGTTAAGAGAGTCATAGTTACTCCCGCCGTTTACCCGCGCTTGCTTGAATTTCTTCACGTTGACATTCAGAGCACTGGGCAGAAATCACATTGCGTCAACACCCGCGAGGGCCATCGCAATGCTTTGTTTTAATTAGACAGTCGGATTCCCCTTGTCCGTGCCAGTTCTGAGCTGACCGTTGAACGGCGGTCGTACAGAACCGCGCCGATCGCGCGCGAGACGAAACCGATGCGGCCTTACGGCTAGGAAGATCCGCGGAAGGCCGGAACGCGGGTCCGGATTCCGCCCGAAACGCGCTGCGACCCCGGCGATACGCGTCCCCTGTTACAGGAACACGCACACACGAGGCGCACACGCGCACGAGCATCGACCAGGCCCGGCACCGGCCGCATCCACTTCCCGTCCAAACCCGACACGCCCCGGTCCTCAGAGCCAATCCTTATTCCAAAGTTACGGATCCAATTTGCCGACTTCCCTTACCTACATTATTCTATCGACTAGAGGCTCTTCACCTTGGAGACCTGCTGCGGATATGGGTACGAACCGGCGCGACATCTCCACGTACATCCCTCACCTGAATTTTCAAGGTCCGCAGAGAGTATCCGGACACCGCCGCAAATGCGGTGCTCTTCGCGTTCCGAACCATATCTCCCTTCTATAGGGTTCCATGGAACTCGAACGCTCAGGCAGAAAAGAAAACTCTTCCCGGACCCCTCGGCGGCGTCTTCAGGCCACTTTGGGTTACCCCGTCGAACTCTCGTTTTCGCAAACGAGGGAACGATTAATGAAACGGTTGCGCTGCCGGGTTCCGGAATATAAAAATAAATATAGTTTAAATGCGAGAAATCACACGTTACATCACATCGGGACTAATCGACATTTAAAAGGTCGCTTGACAGAGAGGGGTTTTTTTAACATCGACCTGTAAAAGGTCGAACGACAGATGACATAATAAGGTACTTCTTTTCAATAAAAACTATACTTAATTATACTCACCGTTAAAAAGTACCTAGGGATAAACCCGAGCGAAGCGAGGGTAATTCGCTAATTCGCAGGTGTGTTGTAGTGTGTGCGCAAGCGATCTTTTAACGCCCCATTGCACTGCGGCGACGGGTTCCGCTGTGGGTTTTAGTGAGTAGGAGTCTCACAGTACCTTGTCCGTTATGACGGCCGGCAGGGTCCCCATGATGGGTTTCCCCAGCGAAAAAAAGGGTGTTTCGCTTATATGTAATATATTACCGGATAGCTTTCTGAGTGCATTATTTATGTGTGTATAAATTTGACCCGCTAGCGCTATATTCAATTAGATCTATTTAAAATAGTACATTATTCTTATGTGATTATGTTTTTGTTCGTCCTCGGAAAAACTAATGGTTTCCTGCAGGCTGCGGCCCCTTCCGGCAAGCTTTATAAGTTTTTTGAATCTAGTATGAAAAGGAAGTAGGTATGTAAATAAAAGAAATCCTTAAGAAACAAATTTATTTGCAGTTAAAAAATTATTTACATTTTACATATTAAAGTAATACATTCTTAGTAGACAAGGTTCATTCGTAGTAGATAAATAAAAAGGCTTGTTCTACTTTTATTATTCTAAATGTAGGGAAATATCAGATTTTTTGTAGATCTTTATAGATATTTGAGATTCACAAGCCTTAAGTAAAATATAGATATAATTTATATCACACATACATTTTCACATTTTGTACAGTTTGAAATTTGTGTATTCTAAGTATAACTTATTCTAACATTCGTGAACAAATTATATATCTTTAAATATTCTAATCTGTACAAATATAATTTATAATCAACTAACTTTTATCTTTAAGTTATACATTAGTACATTACTACAAAAACAAATTACCATATACAACAGATGAAGTATAAAAATACTATTTTTATATAGACAGTGTAAATAAACAGCACTAGATATATTATATTATGTACATTGAAGCGTACTTCAAGCGGTGGGGCAACACTCGACAGCGGTAGGGCAGCGCTAGGGCGGCAGCAGGGCGGGTAAGGCGGTGGGGTGCTCAGAGCAGGCGCGTGTGTGGCGGCGCGTCTTCGTCACTGTCCACGCAGTCGAAGCGTATGCGTCGCCCGCGTACCTCCTCACCGCCCTCGCCACCGCCCCCGCCCCCGCCCTCGCCCCCGCCTGCCTCCTCCGCGCTGCCCGCCGCCAGTCAAACTTTCTCTTCGCCCGCGCCTGGCGCTCCCGATCGCACAAACTGCAAAATAATTCGTTCATACAATATCACGCCAGGTACCACCATGCAAAATTACATTTAAATCAATCCAATAGTTTCGGAGATTAGCCCGTACAAACAGACAAACAGACAGAGAAACAAAAAAAAATTGAAAAAATCTGGATTTGTTCTATTTTCAACCGACTTCAAAAAGGAGGAGGTTCTCAATTCGACTGTATGTTTTTTTTTTTTTTATGTTTGTTACCTCAGAACTCCGTCATTTATTAACCGATTTGGACAATTTTTGTTTTGTTTGAAAGGGTATACTTCCAGATTGGTCCCATTTAAATTTAAAAAAAAAAATACCACCCCTAAGGGTGGAAAAACAACTAATGATGAATTTAACCTACTTCTAATTGTCATATTGACTTGAAACTTTGCAAGTATTTCTATTTCCGTTGAAAGTACAGTGGTTCGGTGTTGTTGACCTGATCTGATAGCCAGGCCAGAAGGTGGATAGGTGGAACTCTTCAACGGCTAATAGTAGATACTTTGAGTTTGGGCTTATTTTGTTTGATTTGACAAGCCTAACACGTTAGAATCCTTACTTTGCTACTACTGTCTACACTAAAAAGGGAAAAATAAAAACTTTTTAACAAAAAAATAAAAACCGACTTCAAACAAAAGCACTAAAAAGTAGAAAATAACTGATTGGTAGTTTTCATTTACTATACATACCTAATCAAATATTTTAGAATCCAAACAGACCATAAACCCTTAATTTATTTATTTAGTATGCGTAGTATAGATCCTTCTAGCAGGTTAACAAAATTTAGACTTTGTCTTGAGGAGTATGACTTTACTGTGGAATACGTGAAAGGTTGCGACAATGTGGCTGCAGACGCATTGTCACGTGTGATTGTATCATCAAATGAACTAAAAGAGATGTGTGAAAAGGTAATGAATGTAATGACAAGAGGACAGTTAAGACGATTACATGATTAAGGACAAGACAAGACTAATGACAAAACATCGACTGATTACGACGATAATGTTAAAAATGATTCGAGGACTGATAACCCGCGAATCATTGAAATTCTTAAAAAACCAAAAATTTTATTGAACTGACTTTGACGACTAAGTCTAAACTAAATAAATTACGAAGAAAGAGTCTTATTGAAGCTGAATTAAATGATTTTGCATACGTACCTACTTAAGGTGTTATTTATTTCGTTCCTACTTCTCAATCGCTATCTACGCGAGCCGTGCTAGTGAGAGATTTAGAGTCTTTATGCGAAATTATAAAAATAAATGAGGTATGCATCATACAAAGTAAAGAAAATGAAAGTTTTGTTAAAGGGTTAACCAAAGAAATAAGAGAAGCTCCTAAGTGGTCCGGGCCACGATTATGTATTATAAAAGGAGTAAAAAGAATAAATAATATTGATGACAGACGTGTCATAATTAACGATTTTCACCTATTGCCCACAAGTGACCACGCGGGTACTAGGCGAATGGTTAATAATATAAAAAAGTTTTACTTTTGGCCTTCTATGGAAAAGGATGTTCGTGAATTTGTCAACAAGTGTGATAAATGTCAAAAGCAAAAACATTCTATAAAGACAAAACAACCTATGGTGGTAACTAAAACTGCGAAATCAGCTTTTGAAAAAGTATTTTTTGATATAGTAGGACCTATCGGTAAAGACAATAATAATTACGTTTATATTTTGACATTGCAATGTGAGTAAAAAAATTATAGAGGCATACCCATTGCAACGTAAAGATACCATTACAGTAGCGAGAGCATTTGTTGAGAATTTTGTTCTTCGATATGGCATACCTAAATAAATAGCTACGGATCGTGGATCGGAGTTCATATCCTCGACAATGACAGAGGTTTGTAAATTATTACAAGTTTCACAGGTGACTTCAACAGCTTATCACCACGAAAGTATCGGCGCTCTGGAGAACTCTCACAAGGCTATAGGTGCGTATTTAAGGATTCAGTCAGAGAATGAAATTGATTCTTGGAGTAGCTGGTTGCCATACTGGTGCTTTGCGTATAATAATACAAAACATTCGGAAACGAAGTATACGCCTCATGAGTTAGTCTTTGGAAAATCGTGTAACATTCCAACTAATTTAAGAGGTGGATATATTGAGCCGTTAAACAATCCGGAAGACCCTAGAACTTAAGTATAGATTAAAAATAGCACAAGAAGATGCTAGAGAAAATTTGTTTAAGAGTAAATTAATAAGAAAAAATAATTATGATAAATACGTTAATCCAGTTAGCTATAATAAAGATGATTTAATTTTAATTATAAATACAGTAAATGATAAAAGTAAAAGCATTTATTTAGGACCATATAAAGTAATAGAAGATTTAAATGTTAATGTAAAAGTATTAAAAAATGGAAAACACGAAATTGTTCATAAGAACAGAACAAAATTGTATATTTCTTAAATGTAAAAAAACATACATAATTGTATGTTTTTTTTTTGTTTTTATGGGGAAGGTGTAGTGTGAGCCGAGCCTTATATGATACTTTATAAGATGTTACTTAGGTTAAGATATGGCTATTCAATAAACGCGCTTCTAATGGTAAAGTCGTAGTCTAATCATTACCTGGCTTTGAACCTAACAATACAATACCCCCTCCACTTTCTTCCAGTGTTCTTTTTAGAAGACGCGAGTTATACTTTTTAACCGACTTCCAAAAACGAGGAGGTTCTCAATCCGTCGGAATCTTGCGTGCGTGCGACGCTTACCGTGCGACGCTCACCGTATTTTCGTCGATTATTTCTCATAATTTTGTCGCGTACTCAATAAATTCTGGGAAAATTCAGTTCTTAGGCCGCGCGCACTTTGGATACGTTTGAACACGCACGAATGATCCGCACCTTTCAAGTACTATGGGGGCGTGCAGACTGCGTGCGAGTTAGTCGTATATATACGTGCGTGTAGTTCCGACGTCAGAATACAAAGCGAACTTGTTGGGATTCTAATATGTCTTCAGGCGTTAAATATTAAAATGGGTGTAGAAAAATTTATAAACTTAGTTTATGAACATAAATGTCTGGTTCTTCATATGTGCATAACCATGAAACAGTAAGTGGTAATTATATAAGTCTTCCATAATATAATGGAATTAATCGAATTCACGTCTTTTTGAATATATTTCACGCACCCATTTAGTTCTACGATAGCGACGACGCCGCCGCAGTCTCCGAGTTATAAGAGAATTATCTTTAAGATACAGGTTATTCATCGAGCTCCAAAAAGGACTTCACGAGTGCGATATCACCGGAAAACTACCTATTTGACGGAGGAAAACGTACTCAATGTGCGCACTTAATTTGTACGACCACGATCATACGTTTACGTATGATAAAAATTCGTGTCCTAAGTGCGCGTGGCCTTAAATTTTGTAAGATTGACAAATAATATACATCGATGGATATTATGCCAGTTTATTTTATTACTTAGGTAATATTGATAATAATTTATACTAACCGATACTGTAGTGTTTGTAGTAGAATTCGCTCGTGGACGAAATGTTAGCACTCTCCATCGACGCCTGAGTTGTGCTAGAACTTCGCCATTACAGAAACAGTAAAGTATCGCAACACATAGTCCTTGTAACGACGTCGTAAGTGAAGATACGTATTCGTAAAATAGCCACCAACTCGCAGTTCTCGGCGGACGAAACGGCGTCAGCAAGTATTGTAGGCCCAGGAGGGGCGCAAGCAGACACGTCGCTCTAAGAGCATGCAGTACTGTAGCTGAGGGTCTCGCGACGCCTGCGCCACCACCTGCTCTTAATTTGGTGCAGAGAACTCGAACTATGTTGCACAAGAAGACGAGATTGAGGAGTACGGCGATGCAGACGAGGATGGCGAGCTCGGGCCGCGGAGCGCCCTCGTCGGCCCAGCATAGGGGCTCGTGGTTCACTCCACGCCGCGCCGCGTTGACTACGGCTGAGGGCACGGGCAGCAGCCAGCCCGCCGCCAGCAGCGCGCGCACCAGCCGCCGCTCCGACACGAACGCGCTCACGAGCACCGTGTGCAGGTACAGGCCCTCGCACAGCATCCACGTGTAGTTCGTCAGCAGAGCGTACTGTAGAGTTGCGTTCAGCATCTGACACCACACTGGTGACTCCTTCAAAGTGTCCGGCGAGCGGACCACCAGGCCGTACCACGCGAGCCACAGAGCATTATTTAGGGCGAATGAGGCGAACAGGTTCATGTGAACAGTGATGCGCGCACATCGTAAGCTCCTGCACAAACATTTGAAATTAATAGAAAGCACAACATAAGATTATATAATATACATTTAGGTATATTAGACCAGAAGTGGCCAATATAACAATCCCAATGAAAATGTTTCCGTAGCTCTGGGGTACGTACACGTGAGGTAGTAGAAAGAGAAAATGAAAACAATTGTTAAACATCCACCAAACACAGAAAATAACTTTTAGAAAATTATCAATACATAACTTTGAGGGTCAACTATAAGTGTAGATTGAAATAACAAGCGCCTAAATAACTAGTACCGATACTGTCGGCTATTATTTTTTTATTCACTATATTTCTGTTGATTCAAATCATTCAAAAATGATTTAACTGTGTAGAAAGTGTTATGCATAGTATATAATTATAAAGCGTTTCTGATATTTTTAATACACATACTTAAAATAAGAAAGGATTCCTAGTGACAGAAGCAAAGCCACCAGTGACACGCTGTACCCAGCCTCGTATACCACAATGATGTCGCTGACATCCTGCAAATGAGAGATAACTATTTGTTTGAGGGTATACATAAAATCAACATTAATAAACACCAGAGACTTAATTAACGAAATTAATTTTTAACTCACATTTCAATATTTTTCTCAATATTGATATTTAAAAATATCCTTAATGATTGTCAAAAATTTCTACTAGCAGTTCAAAATGAATACTTTCTTGGTGCTAAGAAGAAGGAAAAAGTTCAGCCAGGAGAGAAATATTTTTTACATTTTGCGTAATAAAATAAATATTAAATTATACACCATACATTGTAAGCTTTGAGGATTTCCAAGCGCTCTGTAAAATTTTGTAAAATGATAGCAATCCAAGTTTTCGTGTGCTGAGTTCTACAAAACATTTCAAAAGATATTATTATCCCACTAATCACATTCACACATTTTATTGAATATTATTATTTAACTAGCATTGCCCGCGGCTCCGCCCGCGTTCAGATGACCAAAAACTAAATTCTTAGGTGTTACATATTAGTATACTCTTACATTGCAGTTTTTGTATTTTTCCTCAGAAATAAGATATTTTCCCGCGGTAAAAAGTATCCTAGGATCGCGCGCTACATCGCCCGGTTTATATAGCTTGAGCAGGCGGTCGAGCGATGCGGGGCAGAGGGGATGGACTCGCCGTAGGCATCTCAATGCTCGCCAAGCATTAAAAATGTTTCGCTACTAATTACTTCTAACAACGATATCTCAAAAACTATTCATCTGATTGATTTAGTGTAAAGAGCAATTTTAATCTGCATTAAATGACTAAGCTAACTAAAATATTCATTTGGATAAGGATTAATACCGAACTAAAGAAAATAACTTTGAAAATAACGTAATGTTTTTAATTAAAAATGTTAACATAAAAGTGGTTATTGTAAGTCAACCGTAAGAGATAGAGATATGCTATCGCGGACTTTTTTGTAGCATTTTTATAGATTTTGAATTCTCTAGTACATTACTTAACTGTATCTTTGCTAGTTTACGCGGCGTTCGCGTGGAAAGTTCCCATTTGGCGAGATTTTTTGCGACCTCTTCAACATTTGTCGCCGTATTTCAGCTAATTTACATAAAAGCATAATAAATTATATACCTAAACCTTCCTCAAGAATTACTCTTTCTATTGTTGAAAACCGTATAAAAATCCGTTCAGTAGTTTTCGAGTTTATCGCGTACAGACAGACAGGAGGACAGACAGGAGGACAGAAAGACGCGGCCGGGGGACTTATTTTTATAATAAGTATAGATAATGAATGAATGAATTACTCTTTATTGTACACCCAAAAAGAGAAAAAGAAAATATACATAATATAGAAGAATTTACTATTTAATACTTAAAGTGTTTTAAAAGCGGACTGAAAATATTAGTGTGTCTTCGATAGGTCTATTGTATTATGTATAGGTGCATCAATCAAAAAAGTACTAGGTAGATACATAATCCCATGCAAAAGTTCTCTTAAAACTGTCACCAATTGTGTTTAGGTAAATATTCTAGTTGAAATAAATATACAACAATGTAAATTGAACCTTAAATATAATATATAAAGTTTTTCACAAAAAAATAAATAAAAGTGCGCTCAAATGTTCAAATGAGCGCTCATTCGGTGAAGACATTTTTTGTCGCTGATTTGCGTCAGGTACTTTTTGACCGATGTACATATAGGATGTCTCGTTACGTTGTTGTCATGAACATAAATATCGTAGTCCTCTTTAAATGATCGAATATTTGATTTCTCTTTTTCACACCTAGACGGCGCAATTTTAATTTTATATAATAACTAGCATTGCCCACGCCTCCGCCCGCATTTAGATGACCGAAAACCAAATTCTTAGGATTTACATATTAGTATACTCTTACATTGCACTTTTTGTACTTTTTCTTAGAAATAAGACATTTTCCAGCGGTAAAAAGTATCTTATATGTGATACCCGGATAGCCAGCTATCAAATTTACAGACAGACAGACAGACGGACGGACGGACGGACGGACAGACAGACAGAGAGACAAAAATTCTAATAACTATAGATTAGGCCTCTGTATCGATAATAATGTTTATTTCAATAAGATATTCCAAAAAGTATTTAATGTACAGATTCGGCTTAGTTACAATTTTATTATATGCATAGATTAATACTTATATTTATCTCCTAAGTTCTAAATTGCAGCGAATCAACAGTTATGAGTGTCTTGTTTTAATATAAACTGTTTGCTGCTATTTGCTATATGCTATTAGAATTAACTGACTTTATATTTTTGTATCTGTACTAATAATATAATAATTGATATCATCATCGAATGAAGTATACATAGATCGAACCGGACCATACTTACATCTTCAGGTTTTACGCATGTGGTATAGTTCGACCATGGCTTGCCAGAAAGAGGATGTTCCCACCAGGTCCCATTAACGGTGCATTCTTTATGAGCAAATACTGAAATTAAAATTAGAAAAAAAAGGTTCTTTTAATAGATATAATAGAAATATTTTTAAGTATTTATTTTGGTAGATTTGTTTAGTGTAGTTATATAATACTTTCTTAGATTTATGCGAATATTTGATATTTTAAATAAAACTATACTTTCGGATTATTTCGCGAATTTATTTTGATTGTTGGTTCCCGACGTTTCAAATGCTTTACAGAAATCATGCTCACAGGAGAGTAAGGTTTAAGATAATTCAAAAGCATTAATTGTTACAGACAGCCTACCCATAAATTAACAAGAATGAATTCAAAAATGGCATCAAAGTACCTTACAATATAATTTTGTTTAATTGTAATTTTAAACACTTTTATAATTTTAATAAGTTTTATAATAGTATTCCATATTCAATTATAAAACTTATTAAAATTATAAAAATGTTTAAAATTACAATTAAACAAATATTGTAAGGTACTTTGATGCCATTTTAGATTTTTTTAAATCCATTAGTGTAGTTACCTATAGTTAAAATCAGATACCAGAAATAAAAATAAAACCGTCAGCTGTGAATAATTTTGTGCTACAGGATTTGGTAGATAGTTATTATACCGTATTATTTTGTTTGTAGTTATGTAACTGAAGATGTTGTAAATACGGAACCCTTAAGCCACGAGTCTGACTCGCATTTACTGATCTTTATACATATATTTTCAGAAAATTTTAAACAGAGCTTACGTTCAGGGCTAAAGCCAGGTACGAAGTCTGGGCATTGCGCGTAGGTGGTGGTGTTGACGGGAGTGTGTGGCCAGCACAGCCACGAGTCGAATGTGCCCTCACAGTAAACGCCTGCAATTAGTTAAATAATATAGTCATTAAATCACTAATATTTACCATTATTTTTAATATATAATTACGTATAGTTGCCAGTATTTATCATTTAAAATAAAGACAGCTAGGAGGTATTTTTGGTATTTTTAAATCAATTTCAGCGTGTTAAAACTCATCTATTTTATATAATTATTAAAATTAAAAAAATAAACTTGTTAGGTCTCAGAAGCTATCTATAGACAGACCACTAAACTCAATTTACTTAATTATTACAGCACTTGATAATTGTCACGCTAATGTTGATAAAAGTATAAGTATTGTGAAGTGTAATACTTGGAGATATCTACCGGATGGCGGGGCCGTCCTGTTGTTCGCGTCGTCGCAGGCAGCCTTGTCGCGCGCGATGCGCTCGGGGTCGTCCATAGCCGCCTCGGGGGTGTCCCTCCTTAGAAGATCACTTTCCTAGATCTAGTCATGCTTTCTTTTGTTTCTGTAACAATGTAAAAGCGTTTTAATTTTATACATTTAAATTATTCATTACAAATGGCAAAATCCCTGCAAAACTTTTTTCATCTATACATATAATAAAATTGTAACTAAGCCGAATCTCTACAATATTTATTTATATTTTCCAACCGACTTCAAAAAGGAGGAGGTTCTCAATTCGACTGTATGTTTTTTTTTATGTTTGTTACCTCAGAACTCCGTCATTTATTAACCGATTTGGACAATTTTTGTTTCGTTTGAAAGGGTATACTTCCAGATTGGTCCCATTTAAATTTCAAAAAAAAATACCACCCCTAAGGGTGGAAAAACAACTAATGATGAATTTAACCTACTTCTAATTGTCATATTGACTTGAAACTTTGCAAGTATTTCTATTTCCGTTGATAGTACAGTGGTTCGGTATTGTTGACCTGATCTGATGGCAAGGCCAGAAGGTGGATAGGTGGAACTCTTCAACGGCTAATAGTAGATACTTTGAGTTTGGGCTTATTTTGTTTGATTTGACAAGCCTAACACGTTAGAATCCTTACTTTTCTACTACTGTCTACACTAAAAAGGGAAAAATAAAAAATATTTAATTAGGTATGTATAGTAAATGAAAACTACCAATCAGTTATTTTTTACTTTTTAGTGCTTTTGTTTGAAGTCGGTTTTTATTTTTTTGTTAAAAAGTTTTTATTATTAATCTATTATATCTATATATTTTATTAATCTATGAAATATACATTACTAGCGACTCACAAATTTAAGCGTTGCATTTAAGGTTCAATTTACATGGTTGTAAATTTATTTCAACTACAATAATTACCTAAACACAATTGGTGACAGTTTTAAGAGAACTTTTGCATGGGATTGTATATCTAGTACTTTTTTTATCGATGAATATAATATATAAAATTTTGTGACAGATCGCTCTTAGCCAGGTAACTATTAAGCATCGTCACACTCACTAAAACCTTTGGAGAATAATTATCTCAATGACATTTTTTAACCCTAATTTTACTGCAAAAATTACATAAAAACACAGATTTAATACTTCTTTAACCAAATACTATTTGAAAAAACTGATCATATTTTGATGCATGTTAAAGACCAAAAAATATAAAACTAATTACATTATTACATACATACTACTATCATACATACATACATATCGGGAAATGAAAAAATAATATTTAATTTAAATAACGGAAGAAAAAATAGTGTATATTTAATTAAAATATTTTATGATTTTTAAACGAAATTTATATTTGACATTAACGACACAAATTAAGGCAAGCTATGATGATGTTTATTTATGTCAAAATATTTATGTTATGTGCTATTTTATTGTGACCTATTATTTAAAAAAAATACCGAACCCTTTTAGCGTTCCTTGACGTCGTTAAAGTGGATGAATTGACTACAAAATTAAATACTTAGTGATGGCAAACGGAACCCTGAGAAATATTTTTTTTAAGTTAATAAAATAATAATATGAGTTATTCCTGTTTCTTTTAACATGACTAAACTAAATATTGATAAATAAATATTGTACCAATATATTAGTCAAGTAGAAGTCGAACTAACGCTCCGAGGGCTCTGTACTACCACAACAATATTTATTATGGACATCAATTATGTAATATAATTTTACGTAATAATCTACAAGGAGATATTTAAAAAAAAATAGCGTAGGAATAATAATAGCGTTTTACTGAACCCCTAAGTAATGCATCCTAATCTTGAATTACATATCCTCATATAAGATTTTTACGCAATAAACCTAATATAGATAGGTATACAAAAGATATACACGTATACATATTATATACATAGTGCTAAATGGCTAAATTTGGTTTTAGATAATTTATTTAATAGTTATATTTATCCTATACAAAATATTCTCGATGACGATACGAATATTTTTTGCAAGTGTTCGTGCTGGTTTGTATTTTACAACGAATTCTTTTACTTCTATGTATGATTTGGTCATTAAATGTAATTGATCTGGGTTTCATCCTACCCAAACTACCATTGATTAGTTGTGATGTTAATGCTGATGGAATGACCTCTATTCTATCGTAGAACGATTTGAACGTAGAGACCGGTTTGTGTAGCTCCTGGACATCAGGGACTCCCTCCCGAGAGGCTACACATGACTGCTTTTGCTGGTGTTTGCGCATATATATTTTTTAATTGAGATTAGACACACAATTGAGAGCGGCTCTCGCTACGGTTTTGTCCCGAGGTGATAAGGCACACAGCGATTGTCGTTACGAAAACACCCGAGTCTTCGATTACTTATATATATTTTTTTCATATTTGAGATCTTGTAACAACTGAGAGCGGCTCTCGCTACGGTCTTGCCCCGAGGTGATAACATACAGAGCGACTCTCATTACGAAAACACCCGAGTCTTCGATTACCCATATATTTTTTTTTATATCTGAGATCTTGTAGGAACTGAGAGCGACTCTCGCTACGGAAACACTCGAGTGTTGGATTACTTGTATATATTTTTTTATATTTAAGATCATAAATACATTTAAGTTTTAATTTATATATTAAATATATTATTACTTAAAACTATTTACAATATTGATAATTACATTTTAGTCATCGCTAACACTTACAGTATATCCACTATTTACCCAGCTATCCATTTGGGTAGTTTAAGTGACGAAAAATGATATGTATGAACTGCAAAAATAACTTTGTAATCCCATATATCGCATATCTATTTGTATAGGATTACAAAGTTACTTATGCAGTTTGTATATCTCGAAAACAGGATTAAAATTGCGTGATGTTTGAGTTTTTCCTTCTGTTATAGGCTAAACACTAATTGTGTTCAAAATTTGAAGCTCCTATGTCTGCTAGAAGTACCTTAGAATTTTGATGATCGGTGAGTGAGTGAGTGAGTGACGATATTGACGAATTTTGATCTGCAACAGTTCATAAACTACAGGTACAAATTGAATGTAATTTGGAAATATACCTAGTTATATGATGTTCTCTTAGTCACTCAAAATTCAGGCTTCTAGCTTTATCCATAACGAAGTTATGGGGGGGTGGAAAATGCTCTGAATCCCTTCGAGAAAAGGATGGCACTGCCGTGCCCTTTTTTTGCTCGACTTGGCGGGGGCACTGCCGTGCCCCCCGATTAATTAATTTCTTAGAAATTTACCTGGAGGTATTAATACATAAATACTAAAAAAAGCTAGCTAGTGCCCTATGCTATCGTAACCAAATTACTCGCCGCCCAGCGCCGCCCAGCGCCGCCCGACCGCCGGCCGCCCGCCGGTCGCCCGCGCAACACGGAGGCGCCCAAATGAGTTCCACTCAGTGGAAGAGCGGAGGGAGGCAATTAAGCTCATATATATTGCTTCAAAGAGCGCGAGACCGGCGACCGCAGCAATTTACCAGTTACTGGTAAAAGCTTGTTAATGTACCTTTTACTGTATCTGCTAACTTGTTTCGTCTGACAGATGCGTGGCACCATACTAATGTGCAACAATGTGTTAACATTCGTACCTACTATATGGCAATAATAGCCTAGCTACATAAATACATTATATACCTCATATGAATGGTGTTTTGTAAGAGACACATCATGTAATATACTGTAGTATTTAACATGTCAGGCGGCGGCGCGATGACCGGTCTACATATTATTTGTTATTCAAATGAAACAGATAACGTCAAACGTCTAATTATTATATTATAATACTAGTGACTTACCCTCGCTTTACTCAGGCGCGTCCCTGGGTTCGTTTTAAATAGATATAAATAGTTATAAGCGTTATCCGATGATTTTTTCCGATATTCCGATGTTTTAATAGTTATTCTGTTATTCGGGGCAAATCAAAGATCATAGAAATGGGTCCAACCGTTCTTGAGTTATAAATGGTGAAACTAACCCGACTTTTTTTATATGATAGGTATATAGACTTACCTACCATTAAAGTCCACAGAAAAGTGAATGTAGCGTCTAGAGCTGGAAAATTTGCATGCTTTAATTAATTATAATCTGGAGTATTATTCGTAAAGCTTGTTGTTACTAAATAATAGCTTGGAAGTAAACGTTTATATTATATAGATTTTCTAAAGGTAATAATAATGAAGTATTTGTACTTTATCACGAAAGGTTGATATTTGTCATAGTTTTATAGATATCTTACATATTAAAATTTAAAGCTTTAAGGTACCAGAATATGCACAAAAGCTAGCGACAGTTCCACGATACATTTTTAATCTATACTTATATATATAACAAAGTCATGTTAGTTACACCATTTATAACTCAAAAACGGCTTGACCAAGTTTTATGATATTTGATTTTTTGGATTTCTGTTAGTCCGGAATAGGATAATAAGTATTAAAACATCAGAAAAATTAACGAAAATAAAAATTATATGGCTTACGCTGGTTGATAACTATTTATATCTATTTAAAACGTACCTAGCGATGAACCCGAGCGAAGCGAGAGTGAGCCGCTAGTCTTTTAATAGATTAAAGTAAGCGAAACAACGTCTTTTATATTATGTAATATTTACTTGTTAACACTTCCAATTCCAAAAAGGAGGAGGATCTCAATTCGTCGGAATCTTTTTTTATGTATGTTCACCGATTACTCGAAGACGCCTGAACCGATTTGGATTTTTTTTGTTTCAAAGGGTATACTTACCAGGTGATCCCATATAAATTTTATCGAAATCGGTCAAGCAGTTTTTTTTTAAAATCAATAATAAATATATTTTTTAAATAAATTGTTTAATCGAATATGTTATTAAAAAACTTTGTTCTAACAAATTACCTGCTTTTTACGTCTACACTAAAAATGCAAACATAAAAACTTTTTAACAAAAAATAAAACCGACTTCCAGGCACTAAAATGTAAAAAATAACTAAAAGGAGGTTTTCATTTAGAATAGATACCTAATCAGATATTTTCGAAGTCGGTGCCAGCCTACAATATTTTAAGATATGAATATCTAATAGGTAAGTATGTATGTATTTTACGTATTGAAATACATTAGATTTGCTTTGCATCGGCTGGCACCGACTTCAAAAATATCTGATTAGGTATCTATTCTTCATTTATCTATTCTAAATGGAAACCTCCGTTTAGTTATTTTTTACATTTTAGTGCCTGGAAGTCGGTGTAATTTTTTGTTAAAAAGTTTTTATTTTAAGAGTAATATTTGATAACTTTATTATTTTTTATTATAAAAAATTGTTTCAAGCTCCCTGTAATATTAAATATTTTTCTAAGCTTTTATTTAACTAGTAATGTTAGTATATGTAATGTAGTAATTGTTAGTATGTTTGTAAGAGTTAAATATTCCATGCTGGATTATTACCACTCCTTATCCTATTACATATATATACAGAGTTGAAATTTTTACATGTAGGTCCAGTCGTCAACGGCAGAGACATAACATTTTGTATACAAATTCAATTATGATTAAGTAGGATTAAATATTACGCCCACACTATGACTTGTAAACTAAAAAAATATACAAATAAATCAGTATTAAAATAATTTTAAAAACGACTTTTTTATGCGTAAAAAAGGAAAAAATAAGCCTTAAAAGTTTGTTTTTTAAAATATTCTTAAAATTAATTTATTTGATTGTATACATACACTATACAATACATATTATGTACGTCACTACCACCACCACCCACCATCCGGCACCCACCGAGCGCCGCGCGGCCGACTCTACTGTCTCGTTCTCACTTCTTTTAAATTTTAAATACATACTAACAATAAGACGATTATGACTTCCACCTGTTATAAACAATTAATGACTTTTACGTGTCAATAGTATAAATCTAAATTTAAAAGTAAAAACATACTAATGGTAAGTAAAATACAATTGGTCTTACTAGACTTGAAACAGAAAATATACATATAGTAGTCCTACTCGCATATTTTCTTTTTTATGATAACCTCTGAATGATATTAAAATAACTTTACCTAATTATGTCTTATTTTATTAAATTAGTAATGAGTATGTATCGCGGAAACGGTTCTAACAATTTGAATCAAATTTTGTATTTAGATGTGGTTCAGCTTTTTAAGTTTATCTACTATATCGGTGTGTTTTCAGAAAAAAACGCAATTTTGATATCTACCGCGTAAAATGCCGAGTGAAGCTCGATGATCGGTCTCTCAGGTACTAAATATTTAAATATGCTTTTATAATGTCGAGCGGTACGGTAAGGTAGAGACGAGGTCGTAGGTAGGTAGGTAGCGTAATAAAAATATGCAAGATCTATTTATTAACAATTTGATAATAACTGACTTAATGTTGAGTATCACCATTTTCCATAGTAATTAATATTTGATCATGGCTTAAACTTTACAAATTTGTTTAACATTAAAGTAGCCGGTAGAGCACATAATAATTCATGTCGTTATTGTAAGTGCGCTGCGCGGTCGCGGCGCGTTCCTGAGACGTACATATGTGATAAATCCTTGGTTGTTACGGAGAGCAACACGTGAAAACGATTTAGTACGCATTGTTTTGATTACACGCGTCTCGTTAGTCACGTCAGTCATCCGTTTCTCATTACATTATGCCAGTGTGTACTGCACACATTACACACCGTACACACTACACAGTGTGTACACTGTACAGTGCACGCAGAGGGTACGAGGCCGGCAAAATTGATCCAAAGTATGCTAGCGATACCTGTTAGGCAAGAGATTATTTAAAAAGAATTTATCTATAATTTTAATTCCGAAATATTACTGCGATCATATACTGACCTCATCAGTCAAAACGCTATGTTATTTATTTACTAGCGACTCACCCTTGCTTCGCTCGGGTTCGTTCTACTTACGTTTTACCGTTTAGTATCGATTTCTCAGAGATGATATATTTTCCCGTTGTAAAAGATATCCTATATGTTGACCCGGATAACCAGCTATCATAATACCAAATTTCATTAAAATCCCTCTAGTGGTTTTTCCGTGATGCGGTAACACACAGACAGACAGACTAAAATTCTAAAAACTATAGATTCGCCTTCTGTATCGATAATAATGTCTATATCAATAAGATTTTCCAAAAAATATTTAATGTACAGATTCGGCTTACTTACAATTTTATTACGAGTATATGCATGGATTTTATTTAGTTATAATATAACTGTGATCTAAAATTAATATATATTATATTTAAAAAACTTTTTAACAAAAAAATAAAAACCGACTTCAAACAAAAGCACTAAAATGTATAAAATAATTGATTGGTAGTTTTCATTTACTATACATACCTAATCAAATATTTTCGAAGTCGGTGCCAGCCCATATAAAGCAAAGCACACCGACTTCGAAAATATTTGATTAGGTATGTATGTATATAATACACAGGTATGTATGTAATATTTGATTAGGTATGTATAGTAAATGAAAACTACCAATTAGTTATTTTTTACTTTTTAGTGCTTTTGTTTGAAGTCGGTTTTTATTTTTTTGTTAAAAACTTTTTAATTTTCTCTTTTTAGTGTAGATAGTAGTAGCAAAGTAAGAATTCTAACATGTTAGGCTTGTCAAATCAAACAAAATAAGGCGAAACTCAAAGTATCTACTATTAGCCGTTGAAGAGTTCCACCTATCCACCTTCTGGCCTTGCCATCAGATCAGGTCAACAATACCGAACCACTGTACTATCAACGGAAATAGAAACACTTGCAAAGTTTCAAGTCAATATGACAATTAGAAGTCGGTTGATTTCATCATTAGCTTTTTTTCATCCTTAGGGGTGGTATTTTTTTTTAAATTTAAATGGAACCAATCTAGAAGTATGTACTTTCAAACTACACAAAAATTGTCCAAATCGGTTAATAAATGACGGAGTTCTGAGGTAAGAAACGTAAAAAAAAATACAGTCGAATTGAGAACCTCCTCCTTTTTGAGGAAGTCGGTTAAAAAATAAAGTATAAATAGGTAATCTGTTACACAACAGTGTTATTAATATTCTACCTGTAAGCAGTCAGATCATACAAATTGATGTTTCGCATTATAATTTTAATGTACTGTTTCTTCAAACATAATAAGTACAGAATACATGTTAATAAAAATGTAAGCTGCAGAGTGAGTGAGTAGGCGGCGCTCCGAGCTATAGCTCGCACGTAGAGATCTCGTCGTATCCTCGCTCATAAACCGGAGATAAAAACTTAATTGAACAAATGCCGTGCACCGAGCGTTGCGACGCGGCAGGGTAGCATTTATTGTACTTTGATCGTCATCACCTTTTCAACCGACTTCAAAAAGGAGGAGGTTCTCAATTCGACTGTTTTTTTTATGTTTGTTACCTCAGAACTCCGTCATTTCTTAACCGATTTGGACAATTTTTGTGTTGTTTGAAAGTGTATACTTCCAGATTAGTCCCATTTAAATTTCTAAAAAAAATACTACCCCTAAGGGTGGAAAAATAGCTAATGATGGATTTAACCTACTTCTAATTATCATATTGACTTGAAACTTTGCAAGTGTTTCTATTGTGTATGTTGATAGTACAGTGGTTTGGTATTGTTGACCTGATCTGATGGTAAGGCCAGAAGGTGGATAGGTGGAACTCTTCAACGGCTAATAGTAGATACTTTGAGTTTGGGCTTATTTTGTTTGATTTGACAAGCCTAACACGTTAGAATTCTTACTTTGCTACTACTGTCTACACTAAAAAGGGAAAAATAAAAACTTTTTAACAAAAAAATAAAAGTCGACTTCAAACAAAAGCTCTAAAAAGTAAAAAATAACTGATTGGTAGTTTTCATTTACTATTCATTCCTAATCAAATATTTTCGAAGACTTCGAAAATATTTGATTAGGTATGTATAGTAAATGAAAACTACCAATCAGTTATTTTTTACTTTTTAATGCTTTTGTTTGAAGTCGGTTTTTATTTTTTTGTTAAAAAAATTTTCACACAATACCGAGTTATCGATGCAGTTGCTACGTTTTATGGCCACGATAATCGAAAACAGAAATAATTAAATTTCACCATGTATCGTATCACTTTGCACAAGTGGACTTAATTCAAATACGAGTAATTTAATACAGGAAATTTATCATGGGTGCCGTTAACTGTACATTACAGGTATATAATAACAAACAGCCACTTCCGTAGCAATAAAGTAATGGTAAAGGTTAGAAAAACGATTTTAGAAAATAACCTTAACTTATTTCACAGCACAATATCTCTAAATATATCATAAGTACTATTTGCTGCATTTCGCCTAAATATTTGTTAATTTTTACGACTAAAGAGTATGAAATAAAAAAAATGATAAGGATAAATAAAATGAATAACCTATTTGCACCAAGCAGTTTCTTAGACTACAGTCCGTCCACGGGGAACAATAATGAAAATTCTTACCAATAATGAGATTCTGGAAATATTTCCCGATATAAATACACGTTAGCGTAATGAATGGTACTCGCTCTAAGCGTCTGGCTTTATATTGGCATAGCCTAAAAATAGGTATCGAATCAACAAACTATGACTTAGGATTTCCGTTTAGTAAATGGTCAACATTTGAAATTAAAAACGATTTAGGTTACAAACTTGGTTACTACTACTAGGTTACAGCCTATACTTTCCGAATTTACTGGAAAGAAAAAGCTAAATTGGTATGTGTATTACATGTGATTGTAGAGTTAGGTCACTTAATCTATAGTATATTATAAAAACTTTTTAACAAAAAAATAAAAACCGACTTCAAACAAAAGCACTAAAAAGTAAAAAATAACTGATTGGTAGTTTTCATTTACTATACATACCGAAATCGAAAAAATCCGAAATCGGTGCCAGCCCATACAAAGCAAAGCACATCGACTTCGAAAATATTTGATTAGGTATGTATTTAATAGGTAAGCTTTAATTACTTAGCCAAAGCACACCGACTTCGAAAATATTTGATTAGGTATGTATAGTAAATGAAAACTACCAATCAGTTATTTTTTACTTTTTAGTGCTTTTGTTTGAAGTCAGTGTTTATTTTTTTGTTAAAAAGTTTTTATTTTTCCCTTTTTAGTGTAGACAGTAGTAGTAAAGTAAGGATTCTAACGTGTTAGGCTTGTCAAATCAAACAAAATAAGCCCAAACTCAAAGTATCTACTGTTAGCCGTTGAAGAGTTCCACCTGTCCACCTTCTGGCCTTGCCATCAGATCAGGTCAACAACACCGAACCACTGTACTATCAACGGAAATAGAAATACTTGCAAAGTTTCAAGTCAATATGACAATTAGAAGTAGGTTAAATTTATCATTAGTTGTTTTTCCACCCTTAGGGGTGGTATTTTTTTTTGAAATTTAAATGGGACCAATCTGGAAGTATACCCTTTCAAACAAAACAAAAATTGACCAAATCGGTTAATAAATGACGGAGTTCTGAGGTAACAAACATAAAAAAAACACACAGTCGAATTGAGAACCTCTTCTTTTTTGAAGTCGGTTGAAAAGAGTAGAGGTCGAATGTCTGTACATAGCAAAAAATGCTAAAAACCGAGTCAGGGGGGTGTAAGAAGACAAATAGAACAAATCCAAATTTTTTTCAAATTTTTAAGCTATTGCATAGCTTCTATCGCGGGCCTTGAGCGTGGGAACCGAATCCAGAAATTCCGTAACGAAAAAAACCTAACACCCCCCACTCAGATTTGACATCTGACATGTGACGTTTCTGACGATATGACACTTGACATCTGTTTCGGTAAGAAGTAACACATTTGCTTGCCTCGTAACTGAATCTTGTAAATCGTATTTGTGACTATTTAGACTTTGGCAGTTGAAAGTAATTATTGAAATGCCATTTCTATTACTAATGAAATCTAATACACTTTGAGCTATCGTCTGAACACTATTTAGAGACAGTCTTTTGAATTCTTGCAACAAAGATGCAGTCGTTGCAGCTTGCTTTCGAAAATATTGAATTTGTAAATGAATAATGATCCACAAGAATCCACAACAAAATATGGAACCACCATTGACGCGGTATTTTCCAGATATTTAGAAGATATCAAGTCTCAAACTTATGTTTCTTATTTCAGTTACCATAAACCTATAGTTTCAATGATAAATATTCCTGAAGAACCGACATGTATTGAAAGATAATAAAAATATTTTGAACAATATTAACATCTCATTTATTTAATAAAAGAAAAAAAAATGTTATTTTATCGGTCACCACGCTCAAAGTGTAACTCGAATTAATATCAAAGAAAAAAAAACAAAGGAAAAAAAATACTGCATTAATAAAATAAACAAATAATTATTGTTGGAGATTGGTAAATGATAGAGAGTGGACTGTATAAAATAACTGTATTAACTTGTAAATTGAGATATAGCGAATGGTATAACGCGAGAGACGTGTGTTTGTTGGTAGCCGCCGGTATTTGAAGTGGTGGCCCGCCGGCGCACCCGCAGACAGCTTGACGCCGCCCTCTCCCCGCTGCCCTCTCCTCGTCCCTCAGATTCACGTTCGAGCGATGCGCGAACATGCTCCCCGGGTTGAAGTGGTGCACTTCAATAAATAGGCAAGGGGCAAATGTTGTTGAACCCCCGCCGCACCGTGCCCTTCTTGGTACGTAGCTCAAAGACGCGCGAAACTCCATCGCTGCCAGGATACACCTTCTCTATCCTTCCCAGAGACCAGAGAAGTGGTGGAAGAGCCCTTTCTTTAATTAGGGCCAAGGTTCCCACAGCGACGTCACCAGACGATTTAAGCCATTTAGTCCTTTGCTGTAGCAGAGAAACGTATTCTAAATTAAATCTGTTCCAGAAGTGCTGCTTAATATTTTCAATTCTTTTGAAGCGCTCGAGTCGGCTGATGTCGATCGAAGTAACCTGAGGATGTGGAAGAGACATAAGTGGTCGTCCAATTAGAAAGTGAGATGGAGTCAGGGCAGAAAAGTCTAAGGGATCAGAAGAGATGGGAGTAAGAGGACGGGAGTTTAAGATTGACTCTACTTGCGTTAGGCATGTATACATTTCTTCGAAAGTGAAATGTACATTTCTAAGTAGACGCCTTAAATGATGTTTTGTAGAACGCACAGCAGCCTCAGCAATGCCATTGAAATGGGGAGAATATGGCGGTGCGAAAGAAAATTCAATTTCCTCTTGAGAAATATTCGAAGAGAGATTAGAGTCCTGCAAAAATCGATAAATTTCATTAGAGGTGCCTACAAAGTTAGTTCCGTTATCGGATAAAATGCTGCGTGGCTTACCACGACGTGCAATAAAATGGTTTAATGCAGCCATGTAAGCCTCTTTAGTAAGGTCAGTAACAAGCTCTAAATGAACTGCTTTAACAGCAAGACAGACAAAGATACACAGGTAGGACTTTAACAATTTACAACCTCGACCTTTCCGGTCAGCTATCAGGACAGGCCCAGCATAATCAACACTTGTATTGAGAAAGGGAAATTCAAGTGTACTTCTAGATGTAGGTAATTGACCCATGATTGGCTGTATAGCTTGAGCCTTATGCCTAAAGCACGGTATGCATTTGTTGACAATAGATTTTGAAAGATTTCTGCCTCCTAGAGGCCAATAGCTTTGTCGAATGGTCGCAAGAAGTAGTTGTGGACCTGCGTGTAATAATTTTTTATGATACATTTGAAATAAGATTTTTGTTAAATGATGCTTACTACAGAGTAATATTGGATGTTTAACATTATAGTCGTAAGGAGAGTTATCGAGTCTGCCGCCTACACGAATTATATTATTTGTGTCTAAAAAAGGGCTTAATGTACTAAGTCTACTCTTACGTGGTAATGATTGCCTAGATTTAAGTAACTTATATTCATAGGGAAACATTTCAACCTGAGCTGTATGTATAATTAATGTCAATGAATTTTGTAATTCTTGATTAGTTAGGGATCCAATTATTTTATTACTTTTATTTTTTAGATTGAAAATAAATCGTAAAATATATGCTGTGATTCTTTGTACGTGTATAAAATTAGATTTTTTAATTAATAATTGTAAGATAATATGATTGTTTTCTATATTTTCTACTTTTTTTAATTCATTTGTGGAAAAATTAGAAATGACTTCTGGTAGATCTCGTTCCAGGGTTTGATTAGGCATTTTAGGCCATAAAGACTGTTTCTCTAATAAAAATGCAGGACCACACCACCATAATTTTGATTTGCTGATACGATCAGCCTTCAGCCCTCGAGAAACGAGATCTGCCGGGTTTTCTTTCGAGGGTACATAGCTCCACGAATAACCTACAGTTATATCTAGGATTTCATTAACGCGATTTCTTACAAAAGGTTTTAGTTGAGTCACAGGTGTTGACAACCAGCCCAGCACTATTGTGGAGTCGCACCAAAAGTAACAAGTTTCGATCGGTATAGTAATTGATTCACGAACTTTACTACACAGTCTTGCACCTAACAATGCGCCACAGAGCTCTAAGCGCGGAGTAGTAATAGGTTTAATTGGAGCGACACGATTTTTAGAAGTTAAAAGATGACTTGTAATAATTGTTTCAGAACTGTTTATAGAACGAATATAAAGACATGCCCCATAAGCCTTTTCTGAAGCATCGGTAAAGACATGTACCTCATATTTAGTCGATGTGTTGCCTAAAACCCAACGGGAAATTTTTAGATTATTTAAATGTGCCAGAGTAGTTGAAAATAAAAACCATTCATTCGCAATGTTTTGTGGAACTTCATCATCCCATTCACACTTAGTTAGCCATAATCTTTGCATTATAATTTTTGCTTCTATTACACAAGGCCCTACGAGTCCTAAAGGGTCAAATATTTGACTTATCACCGAAAGAATTTTCCGCTTCGTGATCGTGCCTTCTGTACTAATATTTATTGAAAAAGATAACGTATCTGAGTCACAAAGCCACAAAAAACCTAAAGTTTTTGATGATATATTTCGATCAGAAAGATTTAAAATGTTATCTGAATTTTCCGATGTGATTTCCTTAAGAATTTCTTTACTATTAGATTGCCACTTCCTTAAATTAAATTTTGCATTTGATAAAGTAGAAGTCACGTCTTTGCATAATTGAATTGTGTTAGAAATAGAATCACTACCACTTAAATAGTCATCAACATAAAAATCACGCTGAATTGAATTTTTAACCTGTTCGTTAGAAGCATCTTTCGCAAGGCTAACTAAACATTTTGTTGCTAAGTAAGGCGCGGACGCAGTACCATACGTAAGAGTGTTTAATGTATAAAATTTTAAGGGTTCCGTATGATTTTTACGGAAAATAATTCTTTGCAATGGACGCTGATCGACATTCACGTTAATGGCTCGATACATTTTTTCTATATCGGCCGTTACTACGTATTTATGCTGCCGGAATCGTAACAAGATTGAAAAAAGATCGTCTTGAACCCTAGGGCCGACCATTTGTATATCGTTGAGTGATATTCCCGACGTAGTTTTGGCTGATGCATCGAATACCGTACGTAATTTTGTAGTCAAACTTGACTCACGCATAACACCGTGGTGAGGTAAAAAATAACCTTGAGTATTTAATGATAGGTCTTCGGTCATATGACCTAAGTTTTCGTACTCAGACATGAAGTCTATATACATCGATTTAAAATAAGCGTCCCGATTGAAGCGATTTTCTAATGTAAAAAAACGTCGCTTAGCGTATTGCAATGAATCGCCTAAAACATCAGCATTCTGTTTTAACGGTATTGTTACTATAAATCGACCGTCACTATCACGGGTAGTGTTTTGAAGAAAGCTCTGTTCACATGCAAGTTCCTCTGAGGAGAGTGAATGCTTAGGTAAAATATTGTCTAGTTCCCAAAATTTTGTTAAATCAGGACTATTTTCAGATTTTACAAAACTACAAAATTGTGAATGGGATGAATTTAAATGAGTAGGTACGATACCTGATACTATCCACCCAAGCTTACTCTCACACAATTTTGGTTGATTTTTACCTAAACTAATGTAATTATGTAGAATTATATTCCAAAAACATTCTGCACCTACTAAAATATCTACAGCTGAAGGAATATTAAAAGTAGGATCAGCTAATTGTAATGTCGTCGGAATAGGAATATGTTGAATATCAATACAAGTCGTTGGCAATAATTTTGTGATAACAGGTAATACTATGCAATCTATGTTAAATGAATAGTCGCTGTAAAAAGACTCAATGGTGAGGTTACAAGACTGTGTACTATTACTGGTCTGATTGTTAATACCTGTGATTGTCGTGGAGCTTGCATCGCGTCGGAACAAACCAAGCTTTGTGCAAAAAGACTCCGTTATAAAATTGGAAGTACTACCATTGTCGAGTAGCACTCGCGCGCTGTATTTCTTGCCGTCGTTGCTTACAACTTGCACCAACGCTGTGGAAAGTAAGACATGCGAACGCGTAGTATTCTGTGTAGGTACAATATTAGCAGAAAGAGAAACGTTTTCATTTTTAGGCAAGGGATTGCGAATAGAAGGTCCAGGTTGTTCAAGATTCAAAAGAGTATTATGTTTGCTTCTGCAATATTTGCAATGAGATAACTTACATTTATTTTCAAAATGACCTGAACGTAAGCAGTTCAAGCAAAGTTTAAACTCTTTTGCCTTTTGAATGCGTGTCTCAATTGGTAAATTTCTAAAAGATTCGCAACTGTATAAATTATGTTTTTGAGAACATAAAGGACATTTTATTGTAGAAATATTTAATTGATTTTTATTCAAATAATTATTATTAGACGTAATTAAAAGGGTTTTGTTTTTATAATTTTCTGTTTTATTTATTTTAATGAAATTTTGATCTTCTATGGTTTCTAATAAATCAGCTTTATTATTTAAAAATGTACAAAATTGAGGCAAAGTAGGTGAAGATAACAAAGTATTGCGATACTCTTCCCAATGTCTACTAGTTGCACTATCTAATTTCATTGACATCATGTAAATAACAAGAGTATCCCAGTATTGAGTAGGCTCATTCAATATCTTAAGCGCCCGTATATTTTTATTAGTAACATCGATGAGATTACGTATGGAACTACTTGACTCTTTAACAATAGGCTCAATATTGAATAAGGCTTGCACGTGATTATTTATCAAAAGTCGACTGTTGTCATATCGCTCACATAATAAATCCCACGCTAATTTATACTGATCACTTTTAAAATCCATATTTTTAATAATTTCTGCGGCAGTTCCCTTAAGAGCGGCACGCAAATAGTGGAATTTACTTATATTATCGATAGAATTATTATCATGGATCAAAGAAGAAAATGTGTCTCTGAACTCGAGCCAGCACTGATAGCTACCATCAAAGTAGGGCAAATCAATTTTCGGTAAACGTATGAAATTATTTTTAAGCCCACCTGCCATCGAGTCTTCAGAGCCTGTTACAAACCCTGCTGAGTCACGCGGTTTCTCGTTACCGGACAGCAAGCTTCGTGCTAACGCAGCCAAAGCATAATATTGTTCTTCGAACTGGGCACGAACTGTGTAGGCTTCCTCAGGCTTTTCTGATAATAACTCGATCTCAGTCTGTAAATCGTCGAATTCAGCATATAAAGCATCAAATTTGCTATAGCGACTGTCTAATTCAAGGCGTTGTAAAGTGGATAAGTTATCGCAACTTTTAAGCACATCTAAGTAATTGCTAAACGTTGTAAGCTTAGCCTTCATTGAACTACGTTTTTTTATTAATTTATCAGCCATTTTAAGCAAAGAATAGAAAAAAAAATGGCAAGTATGTGAAAAAATGCTAAGATAATAAAGTAAGTACCGTAAGAATTGCAAATACGCATAAAAAACAAGATAAGATAATGAATGAATGCACCTGTTATTATTATATAATAGACGCTAATGACTCGGCGACAGTCAAGATACCGTTACGCACCGGTCGTTTTTATGAATAACTGATATTAAAAATATATGCCTACAAAGCTAGCTATTGATAACATTTATGAATGAATGATGTATACAATAAACTAACGCAAGCAAAGGAAACAAGAAAATGGATATGAAAAGATTAAGTGTATATTAATAAAAAAATATTTTTGAAAAAGTGGGATAAAGAAAGAAAGAGGAATAATTGGAACGAACTCACAAATATCCTTATCCTTATCCACATTGACTTCGAAATTGTAGACCGAAGACGGCGATGACTTGGCACATTTGTCGATGCCGGTCCAAAGTTCAACTGCGTGTTCTCGACGTTTCTTACAACGATTCTTCTTGTTTTCTTAATCTCGCTGCTTAATTTACCGGGAGAAGGACCAAATAATGTTGGAGATTGGTAAATGATAGAGAGTGGACTGTATAAAATAACTGTATTAACTTGTAAATTGAGATATAGCGAATGGTATAACGCGAGAGACGTGTGTTTGTTGGTAGCCGCCGGTATTTGAAGTGGTGGCCCGCCGGCGCACCCGCAGACAGCTTGACGCCGCCCTCTCCCCGCTGCCCTCTCCTCGTCCCTCAGATTCACGTTCGAGCGATGCGCGAACAATTATAATTCCATAAGTTGATAAAAAATGCTATGCAATAGCTTTACCGCGGAGGTGTGTTAAGATAGCAGTGAAAGGTTAGCAGAATCGTTCGAAACATATACGGTATTTTGTGGCTAATTTGTTGCTAATTAGTTGCTAAAACCCCGATTTTGTTGCTTTGTCCGATTTCGAAAAAAAAGAGTTACTGCTATCTTAACGTTAAGCTAGCAGTAAACTCACCGGGACCGGCATGGATTAAATGCAATTATACATCAGTATTTGTTGCTAATTTGTTGCTGACAAATAGTGTAAAAAAAATTGAAAAAACCCTAGAATTGGCTAGACCTGCAGACCTGTAGCCGTATCCATGCTATCTTAACATGCAGTTTTTTTAACGAGACGATGGCATGGATTTTGTTGCTGGACGCAAATAATATCAGGACACCCCAGAGAGCCAGCAACAAAATAGAAACTAAAATTCTGCTGCACCTGGAGACCTGTAGCCGTATCCCTGCTATCTTAACATGTACATTTTTTATGAAAACGATGGCATGGATTATGTTGCTGGACGCAAATAACATCAGGGCACCCCAGAGATCCAGCAACAAAATAGAAACTAAAAATCTGCTACACCTGGAGACCTGTAGCCGTATCCATGCTATCTTAACATGTACATTTTTTATGAAAACGATGACATGGATTTTGTTGCTGGACGCAAATAACATCAGGACACCCCAGAGAGCCAGCAACAAAATAGAAACTAAATTCTGCTACACCTGGAGACCTGTAGCCATATCCCTGCTATCTTAACATGTACATTTTTTATGAAAACGATGGCATGGATTTTCTTGCTGGACGCAAATAACATCAGGGCACCCCAGAGAGCCAGCAACAAAATAGAAACTAAAAATCTGCTACACCTGGAGACCTGTAGCCGTATCCATGCTATCTTAACATGTACATTTTTTATGAAAACGATGACATAGATTTTGTTGCTGGACGCAAATAACATCAGAACACCCTAAACTCTTTAATTTTCTGGGATAAAAAGTATCTAAGATGTTGACCGGGGATATAAGGTACCACCATGCTAAATTTCATATAAATTGGTTCAACAGTTTCGGAGATTAGCCCATATAAACATACAAACAGATATACAGGCAAGCAGAAAAATAGATTTTTTTTTAATAATTATTGTTTTGGAGTCTATATTGTGTACATAATATGTTACAAACAAACAAAAACAGATCTATCCCACGGAAACCGTTCATTTTTCTGGGATGAAAAGTAACCTGTTGTTTGACCGGCAACATAAGGTATCAGCATGCCAAATTTTACTAAATTAAGTGCATAAGTTCTTGTGTACTAAGCTGTATAAGTTACTATAGTTCTTTAACTATTCCAAGGGAACTCTTTAATTTTCCGGAATGAAAAGTATCTTACATATTGACCGAGGATATAAGGTACGACCATGCAAAATTTCATTTAAATTGGTCCAATAGTTTAGGAGATTAGCCCGTACAAACAGACCAGCAGACAGAGAAACAAAAAAATTGAAAAAAAATCTGGATTTGTTCTATTTTTCTTCTTACGGGATGTAAGAAGATAACTGACTCGGTTTTTAGCATTTTTCAACCGACTTCACCAACCCACACTTGGCCAGCGTGGTGGACTATGGCCTGATCCCCCTCGTATTGAAGGGAGGCCCGTGCCCAGCAGTGGGACGTTAAAAAAGGGCTGAATACAACCGACTTCAAACAGGAGGAGGTTCTCAATTCGACTGTGTTTTTTTTTATGCTTGTTATCTCAAAACTCCGTCATTTCTTAACCGATTTGGATAATTTATGTGTTGTTTGAAAGTGTATACTTCCAGATTGATCCCATTTAAATTTCAAAAAAAAAAACACCACCTCTAAAGGTGGAAAAATAGCTATTGATGAATTTAACCTACTTCTAATTGTCATATTGACTTGAAACTTTGCAAGTGTTTGTATTTCCGTTAATAGTACAGTGGTTCGGTATTGTTGACCTGATCTGATGGTAAGGCCAGAAGGTGGATAGGTGGAACTCTTCAACGGCTAATAGTAGATACTTTGAGTTTGGGCTTATTTTGTTTGAATTAACAAACCTAACACTTTAGAATTCTTACTTTGCTACTATTGTCTACACTAAAAAGGGAAAAATAAAAACTTTTTAACAAAAAAATCAAAACCGACTTCATCTAAAAGCACTAAAAATAACTGATTGGTAGTTTTCATTTACTATACATACCTAATCAAATATTTTCGAAGTCGGTGTGCTTTGGCTAAGTAATTAAAGCCATTAGGTACGCACAGCGCACGGAGGCGTCGCGTCGCAACGCGCATGGAACAGGTAGAATGAAACGTACCATAAGAACGTAATCCTGAAATAGTTTTTTTACGATTCTTTTATGGAATTGTTTATCTATGTTTATGACGCATTTCTTTAATGCTACACACTTGTGACGTAGCGCCAGAGCCGCGCCGCGAGTTAAAATATCACTATATTTAAACTAGCGACTTACCCTCGCTTCGCTCGCATGAGTCCCCAGTGTGTAGCAGTAGCCTATGTGTGTTCTAAAATACCTAAATCCTTTCACCCGTTTAAACGTGACAATATCTGAAACCATTAAACACATTCGATTTAGAATTCGAGTATATATTTTTACATTAAACTGTCTCGATGGTGTAGTGACTAGCAGGTACGGCTGTACACCCGGAGGTCCTGGGTTCAAGTCCCGGGTTAGGCCAAGTTTAGTTATTGAGTCTTTCTGTATAGTAAGCCTCAGTAACAGCCCGGAGTTGGGAAGTTGGCAGTGTGTCACCCCCGTGGCTAGGAGAGCACGTAAAGCCGTCAGTCCTGCGCCTTAACTCTCACCGGTCGTGTCGAGTAGTCGTCCCACCGGAGTATGAGAGTGACAGGAATAGAGAGTGCATTTGTGTCTGCGCGTACACGCGCTGCACTATAATATCTCCTGCGCAGTTGGCTAGTCTCAATGAGATTAGCCGCTGTGGCCGGAATCGGTCAGCAGAACATCATCTATACTAATATTATAAAGAGGTAAAGTTTGTGATCTTGTGAGTTTGTGAGTTTGTGAGTTTGTAACGTTGTAGGGGGTAATCTCTGGATCTACTGAACCGATTTTCAAAATTCTTTTACCCATAGAAAGCCACGTTCTTTTTGAGTGTCATAGGCTATATATTAACCCGAAAAATGAAAAGGCTTTTTCGTGGTAGTCGGATTTGCAAAGTAAGTCGGAGAAAAAACGGTCGAACGAAAACGTTTCTTACGAACGCTGCCTTAACGATGAGAGATATATGATTATGTTCTAGAGAAAAGTTGTAGAGCTTAATAATGCCTACAAAAAAGTCAGCGACAGCATATGTCTAACTTTTATATTTAAGTCACAAAAAGTAGTTTTTTATAATAAAAGAATCATTTAGATCGGCAGGTCATGTTTATTGGTCATATTATCAACAATTATGAATTCTTATCAAAATAAGTAAATTTATCGTCTTAAACGTTTAAAATAAAAGACTTTTCCCTTTTACTGCATATAATTTGGACAAATGGTTAAAGAGATAATACAACATATTCGTATGTATGGACGAACCCGAGCGAGCTGTTTATCTATTTTTCTCTTTGTACGGGCTAATCTCCGGATCTATTGGACCTATTTAAATGAAATTTTGCATGGTGGTACCTTATATCCCCGGGCAACATCTTAGATACTTTTCATGCCGGAAAATTAAAGAATTCCCGTGGGATAGTTAAAAAACTAAAACAACTTATACAGCTTAGTACACAAAAACTACTGATTGGATTTTAATGATACTTTAAAACAATATAGTTCATACATGACAAAAACAAATCAGCTACTTTTCATCCCGGAAAATTAAAGAGTTTCCGTGGGATAGCCAAAAAACTGTAGTAACTTATACAGCTTAGTACACAAAAACCACTGATTGGATTTTGATGAAACTTTACAATAATATAGTTCATACATCAGAATAACAAATAGGTAACTGTATATCCCGGAATAATGTACTTTTCCCGTGGGATAGATGTTTTTGTTTATTTGTAACGTATTATGTACACAACATAGACCCCACAACAATAGTTATTAAAAAAAATGCCTGTTTATCTGTTTGCCTGTTTGTCTGTTTTTGTGTGGGCGTTTCACGCGAAAAGTAATGTACCAATTTC